GCCGCTGAGCCTGCGTGTCTGGAGCCTGTGCTCTGCAACGGGAGAGGCCACAGCAGTGAGAGGCCCGCATACCGCAAAAATAAAACAAAAAAAACAAAAAAAAACCCTGATGTTTAAATACACAAAGATCTGACATGATTTATTAAGAAAAAAAGGGAGAAAACATAAATAAAAGCAATAATAGGAATGAAAAAGATGTCTAACTACAGAAACAGATTTTTAATGATGAGAATATTATGAACAATATTACACCACTGTATTTGAAAACTTAGAGAAAAATGGAAAATTCCCTAGAAAAACATGACTTTCCTAAACTAAGTAGAAAAGTCTGAATATACATTTAATTATTAGAGAAATTGAATCATTAATTAAGTCTCCCCTCCAAAATTTACCAGGTTCAGATGGTTTTGTGTGTTCTACCAATATTCAAGGCACTGAAAATCCCATTTTAAACAAACTGTTCCAAAAATAGGAAAAGATGAAATGTGTCACCATTTATTTTTTTATTTTTTTTTAATTTTTATTTTTTTGGCTGTGTTGGGTCTTAGTTTCTGTGCGAGGGCTTTCTCTAGTTGCAGCGAGCGAGGGCCACTCTTCATCGCGGTGCGCGGGCCTCTCACTGTCGCGGCCTCTCTTGTGGCGGAGCACAGGCTCCAGATGCGCAGGCTCAGTAGTTGTGGCTCACGGGCCTAGTTGCTCCGCGGCATGTGGGATCTTCCCAGACCAGGGCTCGAACCCGTGTCCCCTGCATTGGCAGGCAGATTCTCAACCAGTGCGCCACTAGGGAAGCCCCGTCACCATTTATTTTATGAGGCTAATACAAAATTGATATCAAAACCAGACAAAGGCAGTAGAAAAAAGTTAAACTGTACAGGCCAGTCTCATTTATGAGCATAAACGAAATTCTAGCTAATGGTAGACAGCGACATGTAACATAACCAGTTAGGTTTTATCACAGGAATGAAAGGCAGAGTTAAAGATGAAAAGAAAATTTATGAATCTCATTTACCAAATGAACAGTTTAAAGGAGAAAAACATTTATGATCAACTCAATAAATATACAGAAACAAATTGCAACATATATTCATGAATTTAAACAAAACTAAGCAAATCCAATTTTCTTTATCCTAGTAAACAGTAATAGGGCAACAGAGACAGGCTAGACGCCGACTGATCCCATTTCCTTTTCCTCACATTCCCTGTCCTCTTGGGAGTGGCACTGGAACCACGTGCGTGGTCAGTGGACATGAACAGAAGTGCTGACCACCAAGACCACGTCTCACCCAAGTCCCTCCACGTTCATCCACCCTCCCTCCCTCTTTGAAGATGACAGCATCACAAATGGAAGGAGGCTGAATGCCCGAGTCTCCACCTGGAGGGAAAGGCCAAGAACAGCACACAGCCCACCGCAGCCTATGAAATGAGCGAGAAATACACATTTGTTTTGTTAAGCCGTACTTTCATATATGTGTTTCTGAGGGCTGTTTTGTCCCATTGGTTTGTACCCCTCCCTCTGCCAAGAGAACACTGTCTTAATTACTGTAACTTTAGAAAAAAGTTTGAAATCTGATAGGACCAAGTCCAAGATGAAGACAGGGATGAAATTCCCCGGGACAAGGCAGTTTTTCGTTTATTTCAGGGGCTTAGTAGGTGCGCTACAGGCATTTGTTGAGTGAATAAATGAAGCCAAAGGAGGAAGTTAGAAACACCAAAGGAAACAGCAGACAAGAGGGGACACCCCTCCCCCTGCAGAGAGTGGTCCCAGGATGCTGCGGCTGTGCTGGTAGGGGTATGGCCCAGAGTGGGAGGAGGGAGAGGAGGTTTCTTTTGGGGGGGCGGTGGGAGTTTCAAGCTAGACCCCTCTTCTCTGCCTCTCCAAAAAGAGAAAATGACAGAAGGTTTTTGGATCCAAGAGCTGGAGAAGGCTGGAAGCAAAAGCCTGACAGCTTCGCAGCAGTTCACACCCAGAGACACTCCTCCCACATCCAGCCCCCCAAGAAGCTGCCAGGAGCCCCAGGCAGAGAGCAGGCAGGCGTCCCCGGGCGACCCAGCCTCGCCACACCACGCGGCACGGGGGAAGTGACAGAGAGATTGGGGGGAAAGAACTATTATAGCCAAGATATTTTAAAACTCCGCCCTCAAGGCAGCATCCGGTTGCTACAGCAACCATAGCTCTGCTGGGAGCCCTGACTACCTGCTGGCTCGCCACCTGCCTCAGCCCAGAGGTGTCCTCAGGAGGCCAGAAGCTGCCGCCACCATGGGGACACTGAGAAAGTGCCGGGGCTCGGGACTGGGGACCCAAGTGGGCAGCTGACGGTCCAGTCCTGCTCTAGGTTGATCACTTTCCTATAAACGTGCACTTACTTCCCGTTCAGAGTGACTCTCAGCGTCTCGTCTGTAATCGCTTGGCCGCTTCAAAACACAAAAAGATAACATTTTCACTCAGTCAGACTGAGCAGTGAAGCGGCTGCCTGTGGGTTTTGGTCCAGGGTCCCGACAAAGCCCCTGAGCAATGAGACCCGTCCGGAGCCAAGTACCCAGGCCTACCCTTGGCCCTGCACCTGCGTGATGCTGCTGCAGTCGCCCGCGCTCCTGCACCCCATCTGGAGGGGCTCCTGCCACCTTCAGGAAACCAGGAGTAAGAAAGGGAGAGAAAGGGCCCCAGAGAGCGGCTGCCAGCCACGGGGCAGAGCCAGGGGCAGGCACACAGACGCTGTCGCCCCGTCCCTTCCACCTGGGCTCCGGCGAGACTCTTCGGCACGTGGCCACACCGGCTGACTTCCCAACTCCTCCCCTGCTCCCCAGTCACCCCTGTGAGCCTCCTGGGCCCAGGGCAAGCTCGCAGAGCTGTACCCACAACAGCAGCTGCTCCAGGACTCACGGGAAGGGCAGTGGGCTGGCTGAGGGCGGGCAGGGTCCCGGGAGGACATGGCCGAGTAGGAGGCCCAGCTGTCAGCCCAGCCCCTCCATTTCCTAACTGACCTCAGACGCGTGGTCACTACCAGGCGAACCCCACGAAGGCAGGTGTGGTTGCCAATGCCTGGTCGCTGCTGTGGCGCCCGGCATGGGGCCTGGCAGCAAGTGGGTCCTCAGTCAGTGTTTCTGAAAGGAAGGGATCGCTGGCCTGCCTCGTGCCCTCATTTATAAACCGGGGTGGTGAGAACCGTGTCTCCGCGAGGGGCTCTGAGAGGCTCTGACAAACCTTGGACCAGTGATGCCTGTGTAAGGTGCTCTGGAAAAGGCCAGCACATGCATCGCAGGCCTCCAGACCCAGTGGCTCAGTGGCCCAACAGACACGTCCTCTGGGCACTCAGACGGAGAGCGAGTGCAGAGCTCGGTCCCAGGGGCTGAACTGCTGCCCACCTGCCCGCCGTCCCCTCTACTCGCCTTCCTCACGAACAAGCCCTGATTTTGTTGGCACGATGGTGTGCCCGGGCCCCGCCTCTGGGCCCCGCCTCTGGTCAGCCGGACAGGACTGGAGTCCCCAGCGAGGTGCGCCTTCCGGGAAAGCTCTTTATGGGAGTCCAGCCCCACCTGCTCTGTCTTCGCCCTCTCCTCCTCTCCGTGGAGGCTGGGGCCGTGCTGCAGGTGGGCGAGCGGGGGGCTTGAGGCGCCTGCTCCAACGTCCTGACGCTTCAAAAGCATTCAAGCCGCTGTGGTCAGGCTTCTGAGACAGGCAGCTGAACAAAATCCCACATGACACAGTGAGGTACCTAAAATAGCTCCTTTGTGGAGTCCACCTCGCCAACGCCAGTCTGCAGACAGGAAGGAGCTGGAGAGCGGAGGGGATCGCCCACGGCTGCATGGCTGTGAGCGGGGAGCTAGGGCCCCAGCCCACCCCCAAGGGACAGAAAGGCGAGAAGCCACATCTGCCTGTGACGTGGGACGCCCCACAGGGCCTGCAAGCGCCCGGCATGGGGGTGTGGGGACTCGAGAAGGAACCAGCGTGGACAGTCCTCAGCGCTCGTATTTTAGCAGAAGACGGGCAATAAGGAGTAAATACAGGTCATGGGGTGATAAGGACCGTGGGGAACACGACGCAGGCCAGCAGAGAGCGCTGCTTGTTTTGTCTTGTTTTTTGTTTCTTGCTGCACCACACTGCACTGGGATCTTAGTTCCCCAACCAGGGATGGAACCCGTGCCCCCGAAGCGGAAGCGCGGAGTCTTAACTGCTAGACCGCCAGGGGAGTCCCAGAGCGCTGCTTTTTATAGGAAGTTGAGGGAGTCTCTCCGAGGGGACAATTCCCAGACCCTTAAAAAGGGACAGAGCTTCGCGGATGTCGGAAGGAAGGGAACCGCGAGTGCAAGAGGCCCTGAGGCAGGAGGGCACGTGGGGGACCCACGAAACGTGGAGGGGAAAGTGGTGGAACAGGATGGAGGGGAGGCACCCATGCTGTGGTGAGAAGTCACGGGGGGCCTGACCCTCTGAGAGACCAGACCTCCCATCTGACTGGGCCTGTGGGGTAGACCAGTGGGGAGGCTGCCAGGGGCGTCGGGGGCTGGAGGGGCCCTGGCCCGGGTGTTCTGCAGGTGAGGCCGGGCTGCACACGGGGAGGAGCTGCTGTTGTCTGGGGGCGCTGGGGGCGCAGGTGGGCTGGCCCAGCCCTGGCGCTCAAGGGCAGGGCACCGCTGGCCTCTCCCTGGAGCCCAGGTGCTGCCCAGGGACAAGGGTTTGGAGAGGGGAGGGAGCAGCTGGCCGGTGCTGCTGGGGTCAGACGGGGCTGTGCTGAAGGGTCTCACCGGGCCACCGCGACACGGAGAAGTACGAGACACACGGGTTCAGAGCCGCCAGAGGAAAAGCTCCTTTCTTTCCACGTCAGGGAAGCGGCTAAGTCAACGGCAGGCCTCGGGGCTCGCGGCCCAGACTGCGGTGTGCTGGGGTCAGCGCTCACGGGACTGAAATGCCACCAGCGCCTGGGCCTCAAGGTCACCCACCCCGCCAGCCCACGAGCCTTCCCCCACAGGACTTTTTAGTACATTCCAGACAGAGCTTTACAAGAGACAGCAAAATGAATATTTATTACAATTATTTTAACTTAAAAAAATAAGTCCAAAGTCTCTGGGCAATAAGCTAAACTACCATAAAAAGTAGTGTCTAAGAGTGAGTTACAGCCCGTGCTGGCAGCGGGCAGAGGCAGCACCGCCTCCTCTTCTGCAGAAGACCCCCCAGAGTGAGGACGAGCCTGGGGTCAGGCTGCCAGCACAGGCAGACAGGAACCAGCCTAGAAAAATCTGAGGCTGATACCCAAATGCTACCCCGGGAACAATAGTGCGGCCCCGCCCAGGAGGAGCGAGAGTGTCACCATGCTGGCCGGGAGGCGGGGAGGCGGTGGGCAGGGGGCAGCCAGCGGGCCCACCTCCCTCTCTGCTACAGAGCCCAGCCCTCCTTGCCGAGGACCAGCCGCACGGCCTCGTGCACGTCGCTCACCACGTGGGCCGCCTGCAGGAGCCCCGGGTTGAAGCCAAGGTCCCGGTGCCCGTGGAACGGAGGCCCCTCGCCACCCAGGGAGGGAGCGGCGGGCCCCTGGGCCTGGGGGCTGTACACGCCGGTGCACACCAGGATGGAGGCGCAGCTCCGGGCCACCCCCTCCCGCCTTGTCTGCAGGTGCTGGTGGAACAGGTTGGCCCCATAGATGTCGGACATGGGGTTGTCACTGGGGAGAGAAGGCACAGTTCAGTGCGCTGGTGGAGGTGCAGGGACGGCAGGGGGTTGGGGAGAGGGGTGGCCCACAGGTGACCACTGGGGGAGGGGGGCGCGTCTCTGGGGACGGAAGGGCGGGGACACGGGGGCGGGGGGTGAGCACTGGGGGAGGGGGGCGCGTCTTGGGGATGGAGGGGCGGGGACACAGGGACCCGCGGGTGACCACTGCGGGGGGGCATGTCTCGAGGATGGAAGGGCGGGGACACAGGGGCTAGGGGTGAGCACTGGGGGAGGGGGCGCGTCGCAGGGGGCGGAGGAGGGGTGCGGGGCTCACCCCACGGCGTAGAGACTCCGGATCGGGGCCGCCCAGCCCCGCCGCGCCGCCTGCCTGGCGAGCAGGCCCTCCGCGTACTGGTAGGTGAGGAGGCTGGGCTTGCCCATTAGGCCCGTGTAGCAGAGCTCTCTGCCCGTCACCTTCCGGTAAACGGCCTCCAGGCACAGCAGGAAGGTGCCGTGGCCGAACCTGCCAGAGGAAAAGCGGCGCTCGGTCCCCTCCCCGGGCCCCAAGGCTCAGGCATGCCCTGTGTGCCACCCTCTCGCGGTGGCACAGAGCACGGTGACAGGGCAAAGCGAATCACTTCTGGTGAGAGGCCGTCACGCTTAGGATGTGCATTGATGGCCTGCGACTCTCTGACCTCTATTGAGCGCTGTCCCAGCGCTGGAGATGGCAGGCACATCACGTTCAACCCTTAGAAAAACCCGATGAGGTGGCGTTCATTCTCCTCATTGCACAGGTGAGAAAACTGAGGCCCAGAGATGGAGTAGCCTGCCCAAGGTGTGGAGCTGGAACCAGAGACCCAGCTTCAATTCTGCCTTAGACTTGGGCAGAATACTGGCTGGCATCCCACCTCACTCCTCGGTGCCAATTTCACTGAGCACACTGCCACCGAGTGTCAGAAAGCACCCTCCCTGCCCCCACTGCAGCTAAGTGTATGGCCAGTGACTAAGCTACAGCCTAAGAGTCAATGAAATCACAAGTGCTGCACTACCCTCCTGGAAAGGAGCCTGGAAACTGGGGAGGGGGTGCTCTTCTCTACCCTCCCCGTACTCCCTCCTGCTGACTGGAATGCTGACACGATGGCTGGAGATCAGGCAGCCCTTTGGATTACATAGTAAAGGGCTAAGGTGCCTGTGTCCCTGATGGGTGGACTTCTTCACAATAACAAACTTCCATCTCGTTTAAGATTCTTTTCTTTTGGGTTTTCATCCCTTGCTGCTAGATCAAATCCTCTTGGATACTGTTCAGTACCTTGAAGTTACATTTCAGTGTCACTTATGCATATACTGAATTCTACTTTCAATTTTGAAATTATTGAATGAAAAAGTGATCTCAAATCTGCTTTATAAATAGTAATTTGCCTCCTGCCATTCAGTCCACAGCCTACATAACCAACCCCCTTCACCTAGTGTCAGCAAACCCGAACTCTAGGAAGAATGTTCCAGAAAAAATACCTGACCTCGAGCTGCAGAAATGCACTTGAGAGAGAACACAGTGATCCCCATCTCCTTGGGCTCAGTGCTGGGCCCTCAGGCCCTCAGTGGCGGATCCACCACACAGCTCGCTGGGAGGCAGGGCAGGGGGAGAAACTCCAGGCTTTGGCCTCGCAGACAAGAGCAGCCACATGGCACCGGCAGCTGCCCCTCCAGGAAGGCAACCTGAGGGCCAGCAAAACGGCAGCCTGTGCTGTGCTCAGTGCCGGGCGGACGGGGTGGGGGCCTGCCTGGAGCCTGAGGGCCTCTGAGGAAGTGACTGGTCCAGGGGCCTCGGAATGACGCCTACTCTCCCCTCCCCAACGTCTTATGGGCAGAAGGAAACAAAGAAGTGAAAGAGCCAGCACCACAGGGTGAAGGCAGCGAGGGAAGGGCAGCTGGATAACAGGAACTGAGCATCACTTGGGTTCCTCTAGCCAGAAGAAGCACGTCCTGTTAGACTCTGTCGGGGCCGGGGGTTAAAGACCATCCCGATCCACCTTCCGTGCTCACTGAGTGGTAGTTTTCGTTTATCAATCAGTATGTGAAGAGACCCTGGAGACAGCTCCCAGAGGCCAGGTTACCATGGCAACTCCAGGGCCTAGAGGAGGGGTCTGAGCCCAGAGCACTGGGGCGGCTCGAGGCGCCGTCAGCAGGACTGCCCAGGAGGCAGCTGGAGGTGGCCCCCAGGGCCAAGGCAGGGACCCCGAGTCCTCACCTGGGCATCTTGGCTTCGGCCATCCAGAGGAGGTCCGTGTTGCTGGCCAGGACAGGGAGGTGGGGATAGGGGGCCGTCGCCAGGCCGGTGCCGGGGTTCCCATCGCTGAGGAGGATGTCCATGATCAGCTGCAGGCTCGTCTCCCAGCGCACGGGCTCCCCAAGGAGAAGCACCCCTGCAGAGTGGGGGTGGGGTGAGCCGGCGTGGAAGGGCCTCGGGAGGCCTGGGGCGCATGGCCCCGCTGGGGGCGTGGGTCCCGGGAGGTGGACGAAGCCGAGCCCAGGAGCTCCCGAGGGCTCCTCAGTGTGTCCACCAGGACGTCCTGAGGGTTAGAGGCAGAGAAGCAGCAGCCCCTGCTGACCGACGCCCTGCACAGCACCCCACCCGCCCAGCCACGTCCCCCAAGCCCCAGGGGTCACTCGGCCACATGGCAGGGAGACGGGGTCACAGGCCTGACGCTGTCCACGTCCCTCTGGGACTGGGGCCAGTTCTCACCATGTCTAAGCTTCCTCAGCTACATGAGGACAACACCCACGCTGGGAGGAGGATACAATGAGACCTGACAGAGCACGGAAGCCATGCTGCACACGCGTCAGCAAGGCCAGCTGCAAGACTGGGGAGCTGGGCCAGACCGTGGCCCCAGTGCGCAGGCCACCCCCGGGACATGTTTCACCTGTCACAAGGACTGACACTACTGGGGAGGCCCGGGAGAAGACTGGGATGCAAGAGGCTCAGGACATTCTGCAGAGTCAAAACCTTCCCCACGTCTATTAATAGCTGACACTCACACAGGAGAACAACTTGCTTGTAATTAACTGAGCCGAAACCCTAATTCTATTCCACACAAAGTATTTTTTGCTAGACTTTTCATAAGCACTGATTTTTCCAAAAATACAACTATCATGTTAGTCAAGAGAAGACGTACTTTATTTTTTCACAACTTTGCCAAGAGCTATTCCCCATTTTGGAAAACCGCATCACCAGTGACATCACCAGTGACTGCTCCTAATTTCTGAGTCACCAATGAAACACACCTGTAAACACACTGCATTGGCAGCTGTAACATTCATGGGGATTCTACTTTTGGTATAATCATTTCGCTACTTAATTATGCCTTCCTGGATAATTACTACATATTGAAATGCAGATGACCTTACTAAAAAACGCTTCCTTTTATTTCTCCCTATTACAATTAGGGCTTTACCATGAATTAATTAATTTTTAATATTTGCGTATAGGAAAGCATTCATTTAGGGTGGTAAAGGGGACATTACAATATTTTTGTTACCCAGGGAGAACTGGACTTAATAGGGCTGAGAAACACCGCACCAGGCTTCCTTAGGTAGCTTTTTTCCACACTTAGGTTTTCCACACTTAGGTTTTCCTGGAACAACAGGGCAAGTGACGCGGGGAAGGAAAGCTTAGCAGCTAATGTCTCAGAGGCAGTGACCGGCAGACCCGAGACCAGAGCCCAGGAGACCCAGCGCCCAACGTCCCAGCCACACCGCCCAGCTGCAGGGCCTGCGGGGACAGCCCGCCCACATCACGCAGGGACCTCATTACCTTCGATCGCAGGGAAGTCGTTCCTTGGGAGGGGCTGCGAGAGACAAAGAGCAAGCCCGTCAAGGCCACGGTCACCTTCCACGCCCGGTTTCCAAGGGGTGGGAGGAGAGACACGTGCCTGACAGACGGAAGACCCTTCGGTCTAGCCCAGGCCGAGGAGAAAGGGACAGGACCGAGGGCAGAGGTCCTCGGGGACAGGAGGAGAGCGCGCTCCGGCCGGCCACACCCCAGGCCGGCGGGCACCAAGCATGTAGGTCAGCCAGGGGACGGCTGCTCAGCTGTCCTCCTCCAGCAAGGACAGGAGGTGAGAGTCTGGAATCAGGTGGCAGAGGACGAGGTGAGCCCAGGAAGGGACGGGAGCTTGACATCACTCAGGAGGCAGGGCCATCACTGGACCACGGCCTGGGGGCCCATTCCTTCTAGGAACAGCTCCCCTGCCCTCGGCTCTGCCAGTAACCAGCGGAGACCTGGGGCGAGCCGCGGCAGGGGGCTCCTGGGCAGGGGGCGGGGCTGTCTCTGCGCTGCTCTGAGAGCCATGCCAACTCTGGCACCTGGTTCTGCACATAACGTGCGCAGCTCAAAGGTGGGGGAGCCCTCGGAAGGCGGGGGGGGGGGGGGGGACTAGAGTTACACAGACAAACAAAAGCAGGCCTGTCTGTTTATAACTGCAGTTCATCAAACTTTGACATGCACTGACTTCGAACAGGCGGTGACAGACACTCTGTGATAGACACAGAGTTCATGCAGGGAACAAGGGGGCGAAGGGGCATCAGGAGACGGGCGGTCACCCTAGAGGGTCAACGAGAGGCCCCGTGACCGCTGGTCGGAAAAGATAAGGTTCAAATATGAGCCAAACCCAAAGGACCCCGAGCAGACGCTCAGGCCGCCAGTGCTTTCACAGGAAGCCACTTGCCACCAGGCCAGCCCTCTGTAAGGAGCTCCAGGACAGCAGAGCAGCGATTAACTTAACACCAGCGGTTCTCCAAGCAACTAGGAAAGCTGATAAATCACAAAACTACCACCTGGAGGGGACACGAGGGCTCTGGAGGGAGGGGACAGCCCTGCTCACCACCCCCGACAACGTGTGTCCGGGAACAAAGGCCTCGGCCAGACGTGCCCTGCCCTCCGAGAAGGCAGCTCGGAGAGGGAAGGGCTGCAGGGTCAGCGGGGAGGCCCGAGCGTGTCCCATTACCGTGGTCTTGGGCCGCCGCTGCAGATCCACCATGTCCAGCACAGGGAAGGCCGCCCGCAGCTCGTCCACTGTGACCACGTGCTTGAAGCCCAGTCTGGAGGGAGGTCAGGAAGCAAAGCTGCCCAGTGCCGGGGAGACGCCTTTAAAGTGAGGGACCCACCGCAGCCCACATCAACCCCACCCGCCCCGACCCCAGACAGAGCCCCGTGAGGCCAGCGCTGACCAGGAGCGCTGCAGGCAGGCGTGGGCGCAGGCGGTGGGGACACCCGGGGGCTTGGCCGACTCTGGGCACCGCCCGCGCAAAGGCTCACAGGAAGCCCCATCCTCAAGCTCACGCTGGCCCAGGGCCATGAGAACCAGGGCTCTGAGGACAGTTCAGAGGAGACTCCTCGGCGGGGAGGAAGCCGAGCAGGGTCTGGAGAAGCCAGACCGGAGCTAAATCTGGACGATGGACCCGATTCAGCCAGAAGGGAGGCCGTGGGGAGCATGCCCGCTGCAGCCTTACCCTCCAACACCTGCCGCCGTGTTCCTGTCCTCAGACCCCGCTGGCAGTCTTAACTGGACGCAGGTTCAGATCACCTCAAAACACATCTCCCCAGAATGATGCTTCCGTCAGCAATACAACCGCACAGACCCGTGCTCCTCAGCATTCACGTCTGAGGCTCCCAAGCCCAGCGCTGTCCTTCCTGGCCCCCCTCCCGACCCGACCCCATCCCGGCCTCCTGCTCCGGGCATCCTCCCAGCCTCCTCTCGGCAGGCTCCCCAGCTACGCCCCCTCCTGCGGCACAGCCAGCCCCCATGAAGCCACAGGGGACCCCCGCCCCAGGGTGGACCCCCCCGCATCTGTGACACTCGGACCCACTCTGCTCTTCCCAGCCTCTGGCCACACGCCGTCCTAAGCACGCCTGCACGGCTCCTGGTGTGTCACTCCGCCACCTCAAGCGGGAGCCCTGGTGAAGCACCAGCCGTGTGCTGCTCTGGCCCCGAGCACGCGGCCACGCACAGGCGGTGCTCAGCCCCCTTGGTTTGCGGAAGCAGCAGAGGAACGAGCCGCTTCAGAGCAGGGACACGTTCTCACTGAGCACATGCCCGGGGCTGAGCTCCCTGCAGACACGCTCAGGGAGCTGTGGGTCCCAAACCGAACCACAGAACCGCCTGGGTTCTCAGACCCCGTGAGTCAGGCTCTGCAGGGAACGGGCAGGAATCTGCTCTGTGAGCTGCCCAGCAGGCCCCGAGGCGGTGGGCTGGCTTCCAGGAACCCCCGGGGAACCAGGGCTGGCCACCCTGGGAAGTGCCCTCCCTCCCTCCCTCCCACAGGCGCCCAGAGCTCCTGACCCCGGTCCTTTCAGCCGGGCAAGGACAGCAGAGCAGGAAGCAGCAAAAGGATACGCTCGGGCGTTTTCCACCAGGGGCCCCTGCCCAGACACCAGCATCCGCTTGTCGTGATGCTGCGAGAAGAGCTTCATGGGGCTGTGGGACAGTATCACCTGGTCGGGCTCCACCTGCAGGGCCGCCGAGAGATGGAGAGCAGAGGACACGCATGTGAGGGCAGCAGCAGGGAGCTGGCTCCCCGGCCCAGGAAGGAGAAACCTGCCCAGAAGGGGGGCCCAACCCTTCCAGAACTACCCCAACAGGTATGAGGGGACCCGGACACCAGAGCCCACAGGAGATGTGGCCACCATGGGCCCCACCGGCCCAGCTCCCAACACCCCGATTTCTCAGCCCGACGGGAACCACAGGGTTCGTGCATGAGCTCAGACCCGCCTCCACCTCTGACTATTTTCAGTTCTACGTGAAGACCTGGCTTTTCAGCATTTATGCTAATGGCAGCTGCGCAGCCCCACTGTCCAGACACCAGGGTAGGAACCGGTCTCCTCCCCGAGCAGTGTCTCCCAGCCGATCGGCATGGGATCTACTCTCTCGGTTCCAAAGGGCTCCTTCCAAGAACCAAAGCCACTGCCAACAAAGAACGTGTCAATGTGGGGACGGTGGGAGCCGCAGGGGGGTGACAAGGGACAGAGCTCGTTGAGCTGTGTCATCTTACTTATGAGGAACAAGGGCTATACTGCAGAGTCCCACCTGGTGCACGGAGATTTAGAAACACACGTCCCTGAGGCCAGGAGGAAAGATGGAAACGGCCAAGTCCACAGGTGGGATTTCTGTGCTCAACGTGTACAGTTTCATAAAAAATGACCCTGATGATGAGGCTCTACCCTCTGAGTTTGGCCTTGAACTTCAGGTTATTTTTCCAGCAGGAAGATGTGTACCGGGCTCATCCATATTGTCCCCCCACAGGGCAGGCGACACAGGGCTGGAGAGGGGGCTCCATGGGAACCAGGTCCTCAGCCTCCTGTCTCCAGCCGCTCCTTACCTGGAAGCCCAGCAGGGCTGACAGCTCCTGGGCTTTGCTGCACTGTAAGATGTTCCCCGCGTTCGTGACAAAGACCACGGGCACCCGCAGCTGCCCCTGGGGGTCCACGAGCCTGCGGAAGGCCTCCCTCGCAGCGGGGATGACCTGGTGGCCCCGAACCAGCACCCCATCGATGTCCAACAGGAACCCGAAGGTGGGAGGGCTCTGCATGGAGGGGAGACGAGAACGGCCCCTGAGTCGAGGCAGAGGGGACCGGGGAGCCTCATCCCCACCCCCGGGCCGGACCGGGCCTCGAACGCAAGGTGAGGACTCGGGGTTGCCGACAGGGCAAATCCATCTGCAACAAAGAATTAAGCCTTTTCAGGTATTTTTAAGCATACAACTATTTTGTTCAAGTTATTTTTGCATAATTAATAAAAAGGAATGTTTTTAATTGGCAAATAGAGAAATTCAGAAACAAGCCGAGCACTTTAAAGCAACCGACCAGTATTTCCTTTCATCTCCTTTCTCTATTCTTACGTTTGTCACGCGGCTATGACTGCACCTTATACGTACAATTTTGCATCTTGTTTTTTTTTTGCTTGACATGAAGCATTTTTATCTGTTACAACAGTCTTCATAACCATCTTTTAGAATTTTGTTTTATCGTAACAACACGCACAGAGTTTTTTTAAAAAAACACTCAGTTGCTACAGACGATACAGAAAAAGAATTTTTAAGTTTCTTGCTTCCACTTCTGCCCAGTACCATCCCTTCTTGTGTATTTTCCAGAAACTTTTCATGGATGGTTCTACTTTCTTACCTTTTAGCTAACACACAAATGGTACTGTGTTGTGCTTTCTTTTCCGTCTTGCTTTTTCTCGTTGGTATCCCTTGGTTATCTTTCCATATTGATACACGCAGACCTACCACCTACACACGTTTCTGGCTACATAATACCCTGAGTGAATACTCCGCTAACATTAGGTTTCCCCTGTTTCAGACATTTAGGTTTTTCCACATTTCTGCGACTACAAATTATGCTATAAGGAACTCTTCATGCTTACTGATTTTTCCATATTATGGACTTTTCCTTAAGCTAGATTCTTTTTTTTTTAATTTATTTATTTTTGGCTGCGTTGGGTCTTTGTTGCTGCACGTGGGCTCTCTCTAGTTGTGGCGAGCGGGGGCTACTCTTTGTTGTGGTGCGCGGACTTCTCATTGCAGTGGCTTCTCTTGTTGCGGAGCACGGGCTCTAGGCACGTGGGCTCAGTAGTTGTGGTTCGCGGGCTCTAGAGCGCAGGCTCAGTAGTTGTGGCGCACGGGCTTAGCTGCTCTGCGGCATGTGGGACCTTCCAGGACCAGGGCTCGAACCCGTGTCCCCTGCACTGGCAGGTGGCTTGTTAACCACTGCGCCACCAGGGAAGCCCTTTTAAACTAGATTCTTAAAAGCAAGAGTAATAAGCCAAAAAAGTGCAAACATTACAATGACATAACACCTACTGACAAGTTGTTTTCCAAAACAGTATCAACTCACATGGACCCTGGTACCCTTGCCAAGGATGATTTTCACAGTATCAAAGAGTTTAAGTATCAAACATCTTGTTAATTTCAAAGTTTAAAGAAGTGATTATCTCCTCTCAATCTGCATTTCTTGGATTTACAAAGTTGAACGCTATCCTTTTAAAAAATTCATCCCATTTCTTATTTTATGAACCGTTAACATACACGATGTTTTTCAGTTGTCAGAAAAATCCAACCTAACCTGTTTGTCATTTTCCTTTTGTTGGCGCCAGCTAAGTCAAGCCACTTTCATCGCACACACACTGTACTTATGTTCAAAAAACCCTTATTTTCCTAAAGGTACACACAGAAGAATTTAGGGTTCAAAGGACAAGAAATCAGGGATTTGTTTTAAAATCTTAGAGCCACACAAAAAAAAAGTGTGGGGGGGAGACAAGCAAAGCAAGTGCGGCAAAATGTTAATAACTGCTGAACCCGGAAGATGGGTTTTGGAGTTCATAATATTGTTCTTAGATTTTTGACAATTACACAGTTAAAAAAATAAAACAGCTTGTTTGTGCTGATGGCTGCCAAAGTTAACCGTACAGTTTTACTGGTCTTAGTGGCCAATCCTAAACAGTCACAAGATGTGCTCCCTTAGACATAAGAGCACACAGACCCTGCTACTTAGAACAAGGAAGTCTCAGGACAATTTAGCAATACCCCCGACGCTCCCTCATCTGTTGGACAATTTAGCAATATCCTCGACGCTCTGTCATCTGTTCTGTGCAGTGTGTAACCACAACCCCCAACCCCTCAGGTGAGTGCACACAGAGAACCAGGCACCCAGCCACCTAGAAATGAAAGGCCCCCAGTAATTGTTAACAAACATGCCACATTCGTGTGAGATGTTAGCAAGAGGGGAAACAGGGGGAGGGGTGGTATGTGGGGCTTCTCTACACTTTCTGCTGAGCTTTCCTGAAAACCTAAAACTGCTCTAAAAGAATAACATCTATTAAATATTTTTTTGAGTGAAGGCACCTCGAGAAAAGGACATAGGGTTAGGTTTTTTTCTTTTCATTCTTTTTTTTTTCTTTTCATTCTCTTCTGTATCTGTATTTTGATTTTTCTTCTTTCTCACTTCATGTTTTTTTAAACTAGTCCTGGGTATTATGCAGATCTTCTAATTAAAGTTCATATTTGTGGCAGTTATAAAATGTGTGGATTTTTACTAAATATAAAATAAACAAAAAGGACCTACTGTATAGCACAGGGAACTATACTCAATGTCTTGTAATAACCTATAACGGAAAAGAATCTGAAAAACAATATATATGTATAACTGAATCACTGTGCTGTATACCTGAAACTAACACAACACTGTAAATCAACTATACATGAATTTTTAAAAGTGCAGCCTTAGGAATTCCCTGGTGGTCCAGTGAATTAGAACTCCGTGCTTTCACTGCCGAAGGCCTGGGTTCAATCGCGGATTGGGGAACTAAGATCCCACAAGACGCATGGCGTGGCCAAAAAAAAATTTAAATTAAAAAATTTAAAAAAAAGAAGTGTTGGGCTTCCCTGGTGGCGCAGTGGTTGAGAGTCCACCTGCCGATGCAGGGGACATGGGTTCGTGCCCCAGTCCGGGGGGATCCCACATGTCTTGGAGCGGCTAAGCCCATGAGCCATGGCCGCTGGGCCTGCGCGTCCGGAGCCTGTGCTCCACAGCGGGAGAGGCCACAGCAGTGAGGGGCCCGTGTACAGCAAAAAAAAAAAAAAAAAAAAAGAAGTGTGGGGGCTTCCCTGGTGGTGCAGTGGTTGAGAGTCCGCCTGCCGATGCAGGAGACACGGGTTTGTGCCCCGGTCCGGGAAGATCCCATATGCCGCGGAGCGGCTGGGCCCGTGAGCCATGGCCGCTGGGCCTGCGCGTCCGGAGCCTGTGCTCCGCAACGGGAGAGGCCACAATAGTGAGAGGCCCGGGTACCGCAAAAAACAAAAAAGAAGTGTGGTCTTCAGATTAGTTTTAAATGAAGGGACCACTAAGATGTTCCTTGTGTTTTTGCTTCTTATCTGGAACTGGCTGGTGTGCTTCCAACAACAGCATCACAATTACCGTCCAGCACACTGTCCACTCCAACCAGCTCCATGTTTGTAAGAATTTACTACATGCGGTGACTGTGCAAAGCACTGCACCTACATCACACAAAGTACCCCAAGTACCCTCTAGCAAAAACACTGCAAGGTAAGGACTCACCCTGGTACACACACGGGGAAAGCCAGGCTTAGAAAGCTAAGTACTGTGGACCCACACACCATGGCGGTTGGTGGATCCGCGGGTGCCGGTTCCGCGGATGCCGAGTCCGCGGATGCAGGGTCGGCTGTGGGACTCGAGCACCCGCGGGTTTAGGGGTCCCCTGCGGACACTGAGGGGCAGCGGCACTTTGCCTTAAGTCAAACAGGCAGTAAGCGGCCCGGGCAGGACTGATCCCTTAGCCGGTGCCGCATCCTTTCTTCCCTCCTCCTACTCTCTCCACCGGGAAAGTCCGGAAAGTCAGGTCCCGCGGGGCGGGGGCAGCAGAGTCCTCCTGGATCACATCCCGGCGGGCGAGTCACGGGGTCCCGCGTCCCCGCCCCCCGGTCGCCCCCGCGAGCGACGGGGTCACGCCTCGCCCCCGGGCTCTGTGGACGGAGCCCCGGGGAGCCAGGGACCCGCGCGGCGGGGCCCCAGGGGACGTGATGTCACCACACGCGGGGGAGTGACGTCCGGAGGCCGGACACCCTGCTCCGAGCCCGGCCCGCGAGGCCTCACGGCCTCCCGCCGCCGCCCCGCACTCTCCGCCCTCACCTGCGAGCCGCTCGCGAAACGGCGGCCCCCGAACCCCGTGGCCGAGCGCGCCGCCCGCCGCCACAGTCCGGGTGCCCACCGCGCCGCCGCCTCGCCGAGGGCAGCCATGGGCCGCCTCCTGCGCGCACCGCGCACGCCTGACCGCCGCTCAGCCAATCACGGACCGGTGGCGCCCGGGGCACCTCGGGAGCTGTAGTCCCGCCTCCGTGTCCGGGGTGGGGTGGGGCGTGGGGCATCTCGGGAGCAAAACAAACTCCGTTTTGTTCCGCCTCCGTCTTTGGGTTTTATCCGATAACTGAAAGTTTGTACTTCTTTTTTTTTTTTAATTTATTTATTTTTTATTTATTTATTTTTGGCCACATTGGTTCTTCGTTGCTGCACGTGGGCTTTCTATAGTTGCTGTGAGCAGGGAATACTCTTCGTTGCGGTGCGCGGGCTTCTCATTGCCGTGGCTTCTCTTGGTGCGGAGCACGGGCTCTAGGCACGTGGGCTTCAGTAGTTGCGGCACGCAGGCTCAGTAGTTGTGGCCTACGGGCTCTAGAGCGCAGGCTCAGTAGTTGTGGCGCACGGGCTTAATTGCTCCGTGGCATGTGGGATCTTCCTGGACCAGGGATCGAACCCGTGTGCCCTGCGTTGGCAGGTGGATTCTCAATCACTGCGCCACCAGGGAAGCCCAGTTTGTACTTCTTGACCCCTTCACGCACTTCGCCAACCTCACCCCCCACCTCTGGCAACCACCAATTTTGTTCTCTGGATCTATGAGCTTGGCTAGTTTGTTTCTTAGATTCCAAATGCAAGTGAACTTATACAGTATTTGTTTTTCTCTGGCTTATTTCTCTAAGTGTAATACGCTCAAGGTCCATCCTCATTGCTGCAAAGGGCAGCATTTCCTTTTTGTGGCTGAATAATATTGTTTTTTAAATATATAATATATTTATAATGATATATAATATTTTATAATTTTAAACTTATAATTTTTATAATATTATCTTGTGACTGAATACTATATATTATATATTATACGTATATATATCACATCTTCTTTGTCCATTCAACCACTGAGGGGCACTTAGGTGGCTTCTATATCTTGGCTATTGTGAATAATGCAGCAATGAACATAGAGGTGTATATATCTTTTCAAGTTAGCGTTTTCGTTTTCTTTGGGTAAATACCCAAAAGTAGAATTGCTGAATCATATGGTAGTTCTATTTTTAACTTTTTGAGGAACCGCCATACTGGTTTCCACAGTGGCTGCACCAGTTTACATCCCAACCAACAGTGCATGAAGGTTCCCTTTTCTCCACATCCTCACCAACACTTGTCACCTCTTGTCACCTCTTGTCTTTGATGATGGCCATTATAACAGGGGTGAGGTGTTATCTCGTGGTTTAGATGTGCATTTCCCTGATGATTACTGATGTTGAGCATTTTTTCATTTGTGTTTGGCCATCTGTGTGTCTTCTTTGGAAAAATGTCTGTTCAGATCTCCTGCCCATTTCTAAACTGGATTGTTTGCTTTTTTGCTATTGAGTAGAATGACTTCTTTATATATTTTGGATACTAGCCCCTTATAAGGCATATGAATTACAGATATCTTCTCCCATTCCATAGGTTGCCTTCTCACTTCGTTAATGGTTTCCTTTGCTGTGCAGAAGCTTTTTAGTTTGATGTAGTCCCACTTGTTTGTTTTTGCTTTTGTTGCCTTTGCTTTTGGTATCGATTCAAAAAAATCATCACCAAGACCTATGTCAAGGACATTACGGCCTATGTTTTCTAGTTTTATGGTTTCAAGTCTTACATTCACGTCTTTATGTTGAGTTAATTTTTGTGTATGGTGTAAGACTGTAGTCCAGTTTCCATCTCTTGCATGCGACTGTCCAATTTTCCCAACACCATTTATTGAAGACCCTGTCCTTTCCCGTTTGTATGTTCTTCGATCCTTTGTCAAAAATAAAATGACCATATGTATGTGGGTTTATTTCTGGGCTGTCTATTCTGTTTCACTTATCTATGTGTTTTTATATCAATACTATACTGTTTTGATTACTACAGCTCTGTAATACAGTTTGAGATCAGGGAGCATGATGCTTCCAGCTTGTTCTTTCTCAAGGTTGCTTTGGCTACTCCGGGTCTTTTCAGGTTCCATACAAATTTTAGGATCGTTTGTTCTATTTCTGTGAAAAATGCTATTGGAATTTTGATAGGGATTGCATTGAATCTGTAGATTGCTTTATTATTTCTTTAATTAATTTATTTATTTTTGGCTGCATTGTGTCTGCGTTGCTGCACGTGGGCTTTCCTTAGTTGCAGCGAGCGGGGGTTACTCTTCATTGCAGTGCACGGGCTTCTCATTGCTGTGGCTTCTCTTTGTGGAGCATAAGCTCTAGGCGCATGAGCTTCAGTAGTTGCAGCACGTGGGATCAGTAGTTGTGGCTCATGGGCTCTAGAGCACAGGCTCAGTAGCTGTGGCGCATGGGCTTAGTTGCTCCACGGCATGTGAGATCTTCCCGGACCAGGGCTCGAACCCGTGCCCCATGCATTGGCAGGCAGATTCTTAACCACTGTGCCACCATGGAAGCCCCTGTAGATTGCTTTAGGTAGTATGGACATTTTAACAATATTAATTCTTCCAATCCATGAGCATGGAATATCTTTCCATTTATTTGTGTATTCAATTCTTTTGTCAATGTCTTATAGTTTTTTAGTGTACAGGTTTTTCACTTCCTTGGTATAATTTATTCCTAGGTATTTTATTCTTTTTTTTAAAAAAATTATTTATTTTGGGCTGCGTTGGGTCTTCGTTGCTCTGTGTGGGCTTTCTCTAGTTGCAGCAAGCGGGGGCTACTCTTCGTTGCGGTGCACGGGCTTCTCATTGCAGTGGCTTCTCTTGTTGCAGAGCACAGGCTCTAGGCGTGCGGGTTTCAGTAGTTGCAGCATGCAGGCTCAGTGGTTGTGGCATGTGGGCCCTAGAGTGCACGGGCTTCAGTAGTTGCAGTGCATGGGCTCTAGGGCACACAGACTTCAGTAGTTGTGGCGCACAGGCTTAGTTGCTCTGAGGCATGTGGGATCTTTCTGGACCAGGGCTCGAACCCATGTCCCCTGCATTGGCAGGAGGATTCTTAACCACTGCACCAACAGGGAAGTCCCTATTTTATTCCTTTCAATGCAGTGGTAAATAAGATTGTTTTCTTAATTTCTCTTTCTGATATTCTGTTATTAGTATATAGAAATGCAATAGATTTCTGTATATTGATTTTGTATCTTGCAACTTTACTGAATTAATTTAGTAGTTCTAACAGGAGGGGTGTGTGTGTGTGTGTGTGTGTGTGTGTGTGTGTGTGTGTGTGTGAAGTCTTTAGAGTTCTATGTATAGTATCATGTCATCTACAGATAATGAAACTTTTACTTCTTCCTTTCTGATTTGAATGCCTTTTATTTCTTTTTCTTGTCTGATTGCTCTGACTAGGACCTCCAATACTATGTTGAATAAAAGTGGCAAGGATGGGCATCCTTGTCTTGTTCCTGATGTTGGAGGAAATGCTTTCAGCTTTTCACCATTGAATATGATGTTAGCTATAGGTTTGTCATATATGGTCTTTATTATGCCCACTTTGTTGAGAGTTTTTTTTTTTTTTTGAGCGTTTTTATCATAAATGAATGTTGAATTTTTTCAAAAGCTTTTTCTGCATCTATTCAGATGACCATATGATTTTTATTCTTCATTTTGTTAATGTGGTGTATCACATTGATTGATTTGTGGATGACAAGCTGTCCTGGCATCCCTGGAATAAATCCCACTTGATCATGGTGTATGATCCTTTTAATGTACTGTTGAATTTGGCTTGCTAATATGTTGTTGTTCAGTATTTCTACCTCTACATTCTTTAGGGATATTGGCCTGTAATTTTCTTTTCTTGTGGTGTCCATGTCTGGTTTGGGTATCAGGGTAATGCTGGTCTTAAAAAATGAGTTTGGAAGTGTTCCCTCCTCTTCTATGTTTTTGGAAGTTTGAGAAGGATTGGTATTAATTATTTGAATATTTGGTAGAATTCACCATCTGGTCCTGGACTTTTGTTTGTTGGAGGGTTTGTTTGTTTGTTTTGGCCACATCATGTGGCATGTGGGATCTTAGTTCCCTGACCAGGAATTGAACCTGTGCCCCCTGCAATGGAAGCATGGAGTCTTAACCACTGGACCACCAGGGAAGTCCCTGTTGGAAGGTTGGGTTTTTTTTATTATTCATTCAGTCTCCTTACTAGTTATCAGTCTGTTCATATTTTCTATTTTGTCATGATTCAGCCTTTAAAGGTTGTATGTTTCAAGGTATTTATCCATTTCTTCTAGGTTGCCCAATTTCGTGGCATATAACTGTTCATAGTAGTCTGTTATAATCCTTTGTATTTGTGTAGTATCCACTGCAACATCTCCTCTTTCATTTCTGACATTTATTTGAGTCCTCTCTCTTTTTTTCCTTGGTGAGTCTAGCTAAAGGTTTGTCAGTTCTGTTTATCTTTTCAAAGAATCAGCTTTTGGTTTTATTGATATTTTCTATTGTCTTTTTAGTCTCTATTTCATTTATTTCTGCTCTGACCTTTGTTATATCCTTCCTTCTGCTAACTTTGGTCTTTGTTTGTTCTTCTTTTTCTAGCTCCTTGAGGTATAAAGTTTGGTTGTTTATTTGAAATTTTTCTTGTTTTTTAAGCTAGACATTTATTGCTATGAACTTCCCTCTTAGAACTGCTTCTGCTGCATCCTATAAGTTTTGGTATGTTGTATTTTCATTTGTCTCCAGGCATTTAAAATTTTTTCTTTTAATATTAATGGATTAATTAATAACCCATTGGTTATTCAGTAACATGGTTTTTATTCTCCACATATCTGTGAATTTCCCAGTTTTCTTCATGTAATTGATTTCTAGTTTCATACCATTGTGGTCATAAAATATGCTTGATATGATTTCAGTCTTCTTAAATTTGTTAACACTTGTTACAAAAGATATTTGTTAAGAAATAGAGATCAATACAATTATAGAAAGGGACTTGAATACCCCGTTACATCAATTGATAGCCTACCAAGACAGAAAATCAGTAAGGAAACATTGGACTTAAGTGACACGACAGACCAGATGGTCTG